TTTTCCCACCAGCTCTGGCTGAGAAGGTGCTAGTTTGCTTTGTACTTTTCTGGGATCAGAGCCATCTTTTCATGTAAGCAATCTGAGCTACTGCTTGGGATCGTGCTCTTCTGAGGCCAAGCAGACCGGGCAAATCTGACCCTCCTCTTCCATAATGTGTCAGCTGCTGCCAGGTTATTACCACTAGGCCCACTCTCACCCTGATGCATTTATTTTGAATGCATCTTTCCATCATCAGCTGTATGTATTGTATAGAGGAAGTATAGTTTTTTGTGTAATAAATGCACACAAAATTAAATTCCTCTAAATGCATGTAGTTCAGCTGATCTTCCTCACTTTATCTGACATAATTTGCATACTTGGATGACTGGCAGGCAGAAAACTATGGAGTGTCTCACCAGATGTTTTCTCAGGTCAATAGACCTGATTTCGTAGCAAGAAATAATATTTTATTTTATTTGCTTATAGGCTTTTTTGTATGTTCCTGGTGCCTCCTTCTCATATGTGTATACATAAAAGTCTATAAATATCAAAGCTCTGTGAATTTCTTTAGCCTGTTTTCTATTGCTTTTCAGTTGATAAGTGAAACCTATACATGCTTCTTGCAGTGATGGAGTGTACCCAGGATATTGTATTCTTGGGCTTGCCTTCAGACTTCATTCTTCTGTGTGCTTCCCCCATGAAGAGCAAGCAGGTCATCCTGGGGACAGATCATGAAATCCATCTCAACCAGAACATGTGTCTCTGGTGTGGTCATCTCCTTCTGCACTAGTCACTTGTGAGCTTTTTTAGTGTCTGTCAGGAGAGGTGGAAGATTCTAAGGCTTGAAAAATGAGCAATTTTAGAAGTGTCTTGCGTGTCTAAAAATGAGCCTTGGTGACTAGCTTGGACATGGATAACTAACACCAGGGGATTGAGTCTCTTCCTGTGTTTCCTTCATTGCTTGATCTTCTCTACTCTCTCCATAACTGGAATTAAAGCAGACCAATTTCCTATGCTGTTCCAGTTCTGAGAAGCTTTATTTTTTTTTTGTTTTCTTTATTTTTTTGCTAGCTCTCTTAGCTAAAATAAACAAAACACCCAAACCAAATTACCCACAGGCCTGAACAAGGTCTTCCAGGCCAGCCAACATTATGTGCCACCCTGAGAGTTTGTACTGGAGAATTCCAACATTTTTCACATGCAACACTGTGTATCTATAGCTCCTTTCTTTAAAATTCTGTAGCTCTGAATGTGTTTCTGGCATGTTGCTTGTGTTTGTGGCATAGAATCTGACACCAGGGATAAAGCTCCTTCTTTAAGGGGCTTGCCAATTTACTTGGAAAAAATGCTGGTGTGAAATAAAATGTTGCCACTGTTCTTAGAGTTTGAAGACTAAGCATTCTGCCTGTGGTACATAAAATCCTTATGACTCAGCTTTGTGCTGAGCAAAACAAGCAGGAGCTGAGGTCTGGCCTTTAGTGAAACAAAGTTGGGTATCACTGGGGCTGCCAGCATCTTTCCTTGCACAGATTGTGTTCTTGGTGAGCCGCAGGGCTGGGTTGGTGGATGTGATATGTTGGGTGCTACAGCCCTTGAGTGGGGAGTATTGTGATGCTGTTTGGATAAATATTTGGCATTTACCTTTTTGATGGTACAGCCTTTCCTGTTGTGATAGTCTGACTAGACTCCTGAGTAGAGGCAGAGTCAGGGCCACTGCATGGCACTCTTCAGCTGCATCAGGAGACAAAACCAGCCCAGACAAACATAAAGACCAATGATGGTCTTAATTTTTCAGTCATCAGGGTAAGTCAAATGACAGAAGGAGGTTCCAGAAGGACCATACCCTCACAATACCACCCCCATGGTACACTGGAGTCCACCCCTCTTGAAGCACTGTGTTGGAGTGCTCTGGGAGGTGGAAATCCCAGAGATTACTTGTCACTGAAGGGCCAGAACAGAGCTTTAAAATGGAAAAATCTTGGCACCATACCTACATAATTTTTTTTCCTTTGATTAGTTCCCAGCCTTAGGAAAAAATAATTTATATTGAATTCTGCTGTACTTGCCACTAAAGTTGTTGTTTTTTCTAAAGCTTGTTTTGTCCATGAAGGGAGATAAACAAAAATATATGTATATATTTAATTTTCATGCATACTAGAAATCACTTTATTGTATGTTTTATTTATTTATTCAACACTAATCTTTGCATTTGCATCTGTAAATAATACTATACAACTGAACTGGGCTAGAGAGGCCTTTTAGGGATTTGTTCTGTCATACAGCTTTACGACTCAGTCATCTGGTTAAAGTTTGAAGTGAATGCCCAGAATAAGGAGGTGAATAATAAATAAAAATTATTGATATGAATAATATCCTCTTTATCTCTTTATCTGAAATCACATAAAGGCTGCGAGTTCAGTTTAATCCTTCTGACATCAGTCAGTCTGAGCTTTAAAAGAGAAAAGAAAGAAAAAACCCAGACCAATAGCTAGTCTCTGTTTTTTAACTTGATGCAGAATGGGATGCTCCCTGAAAGAGACACTGGGAGACATGAGTGGTTGAAAGAGATTGTGCTTCATGTCGCTGAGCTTTCTATAGCTACTGCTGTTATGCTGCTGCTGCTGCAATAAAAGGAAATACCAGGGGCAAAAGATAAAAGAGAATCGAAGGAGATGGCTGTATGTTGTTAATCCTTTCCTCTCATGGTGAGAATGGTTAATCCATTGCAGAATACAATCAGGAAGCTAGACCCACTTGGACTTGCTTGTGAGCCTGACTTAACTGGGACTAAGTTTCCTGAAGTCTGGCTGAGTTGCACCTGTAGTCAGGACACACAAAGGATAACCAAGTTGTTTGATGCAGCTGGTGCAACTCGGTCTGTGCTGAGGTCCTTGTATGTGTAAACAATATCCAGTGACTCAGGGAATATTCCTGGCAGGAACTGTGCTAAAGTCTGGGCAGAGTCATAGCACTGTAGAATTTTGTCTTTGGAGTGTGGATTCTCAGTTATTGCTTCTCAAAACCTGTATTTTCTGAGAATTAGTTATCTTAATTTTGATGCTGACTTCATAAGCTTAATCTTGAATTTAGAATTCTCTTCTCCTGGCTCCTTTAAATAAAAAAGACAAGTGATGCTTTGTTGCTTTGTTTTGTATCTACACAGAATTCCTTATGAGGCAGGCAACTCTATCATATTTTTTTAGGCAATCACCTGAAAAGTAGAGGAAGTCTGGCTGTTTTGGACTTTAAGTGCAGTATTTCACCTTATCTGTAGACAGTGCTAAAGAAATATGGCCAAATTAGAATATTCAGATAATATCTGATCTCCTGAAGAACATGGGGCAGAAAATCTTTCTTACAACAAGCTCAGTGATGTTGGCTGAAGTTTACAAATTTGGAGTCCTTTCTGACATGAAGATTGAGGGATGCACTTCATATCTTTCCTCTGTATGTGTTTTACTGGCAGCTTGAGCTCTTTCTGGCCAGACTGGCATTCCTGATGGCATAAATGCAAAGGCCTGATTCTTTTGTCTCTACACATATCAGTTGCATTAGATACTTGATGGAGTCTGAATATCAGTTTCTGACTTTCTTTTGCTGACTATACAGTGATTTGGTTGTGTAGTTGAGTACAAACATAGCAAGAATTAATTAACTGCCTCAGGCTTTGGACACTGCTCAAACAGCCCTTTCCAATCATCTTTCTAAATTGATCTATGGTCCAGCTCTGATGTGGCTGCTGCATCTCTGTGGTCAAAGATTCTGCCTGTTCAATATTCAGTGTGAGCGCATGTGGTTTATCTTCCCAGTCACTCTTAGCCATCCATCACAGCGGTGCCACAGGACACATCACTAGGTTGTGAACTCTTCCAATCTGAACATGGACCTGCCTACAATTTGCAAATTCAGTTACTTAAATCAAATGCAATTCAGAATCTCATGCTTGAATGATAGCATTTTCCCATTAGGGACTTACATTTGGCTATTACAAACATTGAAGTTTTTTTGGTTCTCTTATCTACCTCCTTAACTGGCAATCAACCCTTGTTTTGTTAAGCCAGAATATATATCAGATGAAATTTATTTGAAATACTGATCAAAATGCTGCCTGATAGTTAGTTCTCTGTGATCTAGTGGTAAAGCATAGTAGTTATTTTTCAAAGCATATTTTTTCTCTGAAAAACCAAATTTGCTCATAGTTGGAGAAAAGGAGCTTATATATGTTTTGATTGTGAGAGGATGCTTTGTGGATAAGAAAATAATTACATGGAGAATGGTGTTTGTGGTATTAAGCAGACTATATATGAAGCAAACATATGTCTGAAACTCAGTGTGGAGCTGCATGGAAATTTGGTTACATTACAGCTGTGTCATTTCTTAACCAGAAAGACTCAAAAAAATCATTATATTGAAAATCTGGCTTCCAAAAAGAGTCATGTCACTATTTTTGATGTTTAACTAGTGAGCAGGTTGATTTCTAACTTACCTGAAAATATAGACCTCGTTCTCAATATTAGAAAATATAAATTAGGAGCAATTTACTTTTCAATACAAAAGAGATCTGATTCATTCCATAAAAACAAATCATGGCATGACCTTGAGTATGGAGTCACTACCTCATCAGAGTCATGTTGATTTGTTTACATTCTATTTGATACTAGGAACTCGCATGTCACCTGCTTCCTATTAAGCAAAAAAAGCCAGGGGAATGGCCAGCTTTGTTATATGGCAGTAAAAGTTAATGTGTTGACAGCTGAAATTTGGAAGCACAAAGTTGTTTGACAAGTTTGGGAAGAGACAACCTGCTTTTGATTCTCAGGAGCCCAGTCTGGTTTAAGAGTAAAGGGAAGACATTGCCTTGTTAGCCTCCCCTGGCAGTGAGGGTGATCAATAATTGTGTATAATTATTGTGAATGACCCATTAATGTTCTTTAGTCTTAGCTGATTTTGACACTTTATCTAGCAACAGTCTTCCTTCTTTTTCCTCAAAATTTGTTCTTTCTCTCTCTGTCTTCCAGCTGTACAGCTCCATGGACTTTGGAAGAAAATGGCAGCTCATGCATGAGCGGGTCACCCCAAACAGGTTTTACTGGTGAGTTAGGGCCACTGGCTTGGCTTGTTTTGGGCAGGTCATGGAGGGGAGAAGGGCATCTAACTTGAAGGGATTGGTTGCTTTACTTGAGCATGAAGTATACCCTTGGTTTTTTTCATCATTATTGCTATAAATTCAGTCCATAGAACATACCTTACAGTGCAATACTCCCTGTGTTTGTACTTCTTGTCTGATAAAATGTGGTGTCTTTTACAGAGAAATACAAGTCGTTTGATAATTGCAAAACTCCTGCTTCTTCACTGTACACCTGCTTAGAGTAACAGAGAAGCTGCCCAGTGCCTCAGTGACAAACCTGTAACCATTAGACTTCCTATTTTTCAGCCCTTCAGAGAGTTACTTTAGCCTAGAACACAGTCTTTGTGCAGAGCCAGCCACTCTGACCAGTCTCCTTATGTAATCTTGGTGAGAAGGGATGATTCACTCTGCTTTAAATCTCTCTCTGAGGAGTCAGTTTTATTATAGTGACTAGTGAAAGCCCAAGATCTGCAGTTTGCTAAAAATCTGCTTTGTGACTCAATTCCTTCTCATTTCCAAAGTGTCAACCCTTCAAATTGGAAGGGTGTCTTAAAAATCAGATGATGAAACAAATTTAGTTCCTATCTCCAGGCTCAGCCATCTCAGATACCTCTTTTCCAAACTTCCCTGCACCATGTGAAGGCTCCAGAATTGACTTTTAGAGAGAAAAAGAAAAGTCTAGTTTTTCTGTAGTTGAATTTAGGATTTGGGGCTTGAATCAGATTCTTAATGCTGTACTTACTATGTGCCAGATGATGGGGTGTGTGTGAATGTGTAGAATTTACAGAATCTGTGCATAGCTAAAAAAAGTGTCTGGTCCTTAAGACCCAAAAAGATTGTAATAAGAAATTAGAGGGTCACATTTTGGAATGTTAAAAATAAAAAAGGACTTGAAAAACTTAAAAATTTACTCCCAGTTACAAAGCATGATACATATCTATGTCTATATATCTTAGAATCAAATTCTCATAGAAATTTTTGCACCTCATTGAAAGCCCATGGTATCAGGCATAAAATACCTATAGATTGTATTTTCAGTATTTCCACACCTTGCAGTGGAGGTAGACTCCTCATTTCAAATTATCTACATGCTTCTGGAAATCTCTCTAAACATCTTTAGACTCCAACATTTAAAACATTGACTTTTTGGCCCCAGGTCTAGAGATTTCCCTTAGTGTCCCTGGGGAATCTGGAGAGTGTGAGAAGATTTTGAACACTGAGGAAAGAAAGTTTTAAGGTTCCTAAGTCACACAGACCTGCAAAATATATCAATGGTCTAGAACCTTGTCTGTCCATGCTACAGACAGACTGGCTTAATTCTTTAAAATACAGAGATTCTCAAGGGGACCTGTGTTTTCTGTCCAATCAGCTAAACAGCTGTGAATATCCCCTGCCCATCTGTCTTTGGAGTCCCTGCCTATGTTTGCTGAGCAGACACGAGGATCACTATCCTGAGCAGAGGACAGAGGACAATTCCATAATGTAGGAAAGGAATTTGTTTTTCTCTCCTGGTTCTGGTGGCAGGTGGATGATTGACCTAACTATCAAAAATCCTTTGATCTCACTATTCATGCTGGGTGCACATGACAAAGTCCAGTGTGGATCCTCTCCAGGTGTATCCTTCTGTAGAGCAGAATAGCTGGTCCTTGGAATAATTTTACCCTATCCTTCAAATCACACAAGTGGGCTTAGGGGAGAGGTTTTCTTAGGGGATAAAGTGCAAGGGCTAAACTGACTTGGGAAGAAAAGCAGAACCTCTTTTTAAAGGACAAGTTGTGATGTTGTGCCTTATTTTCTACTTCCAAATAATAATGATTAATGGAAATTGCCTGTTTGTCTATTTGACACCCTAATGTGTATTATTTTCCACGGTCTACCTCTTTTTTCATTGTCTTTTGCTGCATGACTTGAACGCTGTTTTTTTGCAGTGCATTACATAATGTCTGTGTTTCAGGTGTCTTTTTCTCTTAGGAAATGTACAAGTCTTCTGTAGTTAAAACTCATAAGACATAGACTTAGAAATCTTTATTCCACTCAGAAACAGCAGAGTCCCACAGAGAATAAGCTTCCCAAGAGAGTGAATCAGGTTTTTCCTACAGTGGGAGGGATTTGAAACAATCCATAGTGCAGGGATAAGAGGTATTGAAATTGTGGAACATAACTCTCAGCTGATTGATTTCTCTTTTTCCTTTCTTTCCTTTTAAAGCTGCAAACTGTGATGGCTTGCAAGCTCTGGCTTGTACGATCTGTACAGAAAAAAATGAAAAAAAACATTTTAGCCTCCGAAATTTGTTGATTTCTTTTTAGTGCACTAAAAAAGAGAAAGTGGGTATAGCTGCAAGTTTCAGAGGGATGTAAGCCACTACTCTGTGGCTTACATTCACAGAGTAGAAGCTCAGAGAACCAAAAAATAGTATAGGTTGGAAAGGACCCTAAAAATTATCTAATTCCAACTTTCCTACCAGGGCCAAGGGCACCTTCCACTAGACCATCTTGCTCAAAGCTCAATCCAGCCTGGCCTTGAACACTTCCAGGAATGGGACATCTGCAACACCTCTGGCCAACCTGTTCAATTATCATGTCAGCTTCACAATAAAGAACTTCCTCCCATTATCTATTCTGAACCTACCATCTTTAAGTTGAAAGGCACTACTCGTGTCCTATTACTACATGTTTTTGTAAAAGCTCCCTCTCTTTAGCTACTGAAGGGTGCTGTAAGTTCTCCTGGAGCCATGAGGGTCGCACAGACGCATGTCTCGAGTCTGTCAGTCTCTGTCTGGATGCCCTCCCTTCCCTCAGGTGTGTCTACTGCAGCTTCTACTGCAGCTCTCAGCTTGCCTGTGCTGTGGCAAGCTTGCCTTTCCATGTCACCAGCCTATCTCTGTCCCTGTCATCAATACATCAAATTACTACATTATTGAACCTCTGAATTAAAACTTCCATGAAATAGTAATGATAGGGAGATGCCAAAATGAGACAAGCTGCTCTGCATTGTTCATTAGCAGAGGCTCAGGTAAGCATCCTTCATGAAATAGGATGGTCTCCATTTGATTGGAATGCAGCTGGCTTTATCTGGGGCAGGCTTTGCTGAATGTGTTTGCCTTCAAAACATGACTTTCATCTCTCAGGCTGCTTTGAATGGTCTTGTGAAGACTCTAAACTTTACCTGGTTTGTGTAATCAGTCAACCTGAGAAGAAGAGGCCTTATTTTTCTCTCTTTCTGAATAGTTATACCTTCCCTGAGAGACCTCACACATAGAGACCTTAAGGCCAGGAGAGAATCATGATTGCTTCAGAGCTTGTGAGACTGTGATGTGAATTTTCCCTCAGCAGAGTAAGCACAACCTCTCTGTTAGTCATGGAATACAAGTCACTCTGCATTTTTTGGTGTAGCTCTAGCAGGCAGCATCTGTGATGGCTTTCCTCTGGTCAAAACCAAAGCCCTAAGCTTCAATCCCAACTTGTGGCATTGTATCCTGGCTCTTGCTTTCAGCTGCTTTCCTCAGTCATAGTTGTTGGTGCTACTCACTGGTTTGTAGTTTTGTGTTCTCATTCATTATGGATGTCACGTGTCCAACTGTTCATGGGACATCTCTCATCAGCTCCTGAGCCTGTTCAAAGTTTGTGCATGAGCTGAGAGTCACCCCTGAGCCACTCACAGTTATAAAAAACCCTAGGATTTGAGTACTTTGGTAGTAGTGATTCATTTGTTAACTACACCCACTGATGACAGTGGCAGAGCTTGAACAGAATGTGTTACTTGATGTGTGTACAGGCATCCAGATTTGGCTCCCACGTGCCTTGGCCTCAGATTTTAATAACTTAGGATCCTGTAAGACTGGAAATAGGGAGCTTACGCTAATGTGATACAGAAATTCCAAGATCAATCAAGATAACTGGAACCAGCATGGGTGTAAAGTTTCTTAAAATCCTACTCAATGTTCTGTTCTTTCAGAACACATTTCTGCAGCTCCCTCTGGGCCCTGTTCATTTTGTATCACTGTAACTTAGACACCTGTGCTACCATGTGGAGGATATAAAAAAAATAAAGCAATTTTGTACCGTAGAAATGCTGGGGAACTTCCTTGCCTGTAGAACACATGGTCTTTTCTGCTGACTAAATACTGTTGCTCTCCTGATAAAGATTTTTAGGACTTGAATTGTCCTTAAGTATTTTTTTTTACTACCTCTGCCTTTCTCTGCACGGCACAATGGGGGTGAGCAGGTGGGCAGGATGGTTTAGTTACCAAGCATTCACCAAGCATTTGCTGGCCCACAGCTTTTCCCTGTCACCTTGGGTGGCTCCACCTGACTTTGCCTTGTTATCCTGTAGGTGAGACTGGGAGAGGAGAGCACCTTGATGACTGTAGTGGGTGAAGTACTCAAATAGAGTAATATGAAGTGCTACAGGAGTAGATTAAGAGCACTAGAGAGTACAAGATAAAGATGCTTTAGTGGCATATGAAATCCTTTTATCATTTTATAGTTTAATTCTTTAAAATACAGAGATTCTCAAGGGGACCGGTGTTTTCTGTCCAATCAGCTAAACAATTGTGAATATCCCCTGCCCATCTGTCTTTGGAGGCCCTGCCTATGTTTTCTGAGCAGGCATGAGGGTCACCATCCTGAGCAGAAGACAGGAATATATTCCTTTTTGCCACCAACACCCTTTCTTAGGGTCTTCCCAGGCTTTTCTTTTTTGGAGAACACATTCCTGTTCTAGCTTACATCACCACTGAGGAATATGAATTGGTGGATATGGAACCATTTTCTTTGGTCTGGGCTTTTATTGTTGTTTTGTTTGTTTGGTTTTTTTTTGTTTTTGGGGGTTTCTACCTTCACACAGATATTTGTGTCTGTTTCTATTTCTTAATTGTTGTGAAAGCACTGGTATTTCCTAATTCCAGTGCCAATTTTGGTCCAGGCAGACTGTTTCAACAGAAGTTCCAGTAGTGACCTTTGGA